TGGTTTGCCCTGAGCTTGAGCCCACAATCTCACACAGGAAAGAAATTTCTTACCTTGCATTCATAAGTATGCTTTTCCATTCTTTTTCCCCACACTACCCTTTAACACAGGTATTTACTGCTGCTGGACTCTTTTGGATGACTTCTGCTGAGGGAGTACTTAATGGAAGAAGAACAAACCCTTTCCTCTAGTCAGCCTTGTGCAGAGTCTTGTGTGCAACGTCCATGTGCAGAAGATATGTGCACAGCCTTGTTTTCCTGAAAACAGAACCAGAATGGAGGCAATTTCTTCACCTCTGATTGCCACACAGCACTCCAAATTCCAGGCTCTCTCCCCCTTCTGGCTTACTGCCGTGGGCCCTTTGCTTACATTTTCTTGGCTTTTTGTCCACTTCTCTCTGCTTGTTCTATGGTGGCTCCTTAGTAGTGCAGGGAAGACTACCAGACAACATCCACCTCCTTGCATTGAGATCCAGAAACACTAGTACAGCTTTCAAGCACTATAAAATTGGTTGGTTTCTCCAAAATCTGAAGCAATCTTGCTCTGAAAAGAAGCTTTTTGCCTTTCTCCATTGTCACTCCTGTACTATCAACTGCCCCAAAACTTTACAGTCAGTGCATGCTCTGGGCAGTTGGATTTTGAGGATTTTGTGATGGACATAAAGTTTTACTGTGACTTTTAGTGAATTCAAGATTGAAACTTCTCTCAAACCTGGCTGTAATAGCTATTACAGCCCACTAACTCTTGTAACTCCAATTTTATAATGCAATAAATAAATAAATGATAAATTCTCCAAGAGATTCTGCCTCTAGTTACTGAAAGATAGAGAATAGACACAGACCATATCATGTGCACATTTAGGAGGTTAATTTGACAAGCAGAAAATTTAGAAGGATAATGGGCCAGAGAAAGTGAGTTTAGGTTTTGGCAGAATTCAGCAGCAAGGTGTATGGTTTTCTCACAAGGCCACAGCAGTGAATGGCCGTGAGCAGGTCCATGAGTTTGCATCCACTGTGCATCAGTCAAGGACAAAGAGAAAACCAACAGGAAATGCATCAGTCTGTAATAACTCCAGGTTCCAGTTCAAGGTCTACAGAAGGTGTTGGGAGAAGAGGAAATAAAGTCTATGAAAGACCTCTGGCAAAAGATTTTTCATTTGACAGTCTTTCAAGATTAGTGAATGGCTGTAAGTCACTCGCTCTTCCCACTGCTGGTGTGGATTGAGCTACAGGTCATAGGCTTTTATTTAGCCCAGCTGGCAGCAAAAGTAGCAAAACACCCTGAATGGTAATTAGGCAGCCTATGTAAAATGCATGGCTCATCTCTGACAAGGTTTAATTAGGCAGCTCTCCTCATTACAAAACAAGTTCAGCAATTAACTCACATAGGCAATTCCACTTGCAGCGTGAAGGATAAAATAGGCTGAAGTGTCAACCTCCCTTCAAATGAGCATCCCAAGGGCAGGGTTGTGATGTGCTGCACAGGGAGACAAGTTATGGTGGTGATGTTTGGTCTATTCCTGCTCTGCAGCCCAAGGAGCTGGGTTTCCCTGTGTGTCAGCCTGGCTGGCACCTGCACTTTTTCATCCTCTGGCAGTTTTCGTTTTTCTCTTTGACAGCTGTCTTAATTTTGGGTTCCTTTGCTTCCTTCAGCTAGAAGTTTGGCAATGATGGGCTGTTGTTTGTCATTCACAGGTTTTGAATTATCTACTTCAACAACTTGGTATTGTTACTTATGTAAAGAATTATTATTTTCACAGACTAATAAATATTAAAAGACTTGTGGAAATTAAATATTCAAAACTCCAGGCTGCTCCCATGAACAGGGATCTGGCACTCTGGCTTTTGTCTAGTATCAATACCAATGAGAAGACAGGTGTAAGTTTCACAACTGATCTGTTTTTAACTCTGGGAATATGGTATTTACTCAACAGAATTGATATTTTGGGTTATTCTTGATCTTTGAAGTGATGAAAAGAAATGGTTCATTAGACAAAAACTTTTCAGCCATTTCAGATATGAATATTACCCCTTCTGCAGTTCCAGTTTCTGTGTATGTGCACATGGTGCTACACCTGTACTGTGTATTTTAACCTATTTCCAGTGAATTTCTCAATCTGTTTGTTTTTTGGGGTTTTTTTTCCTGCTTTATATGAATGCCTCAGAAGCTGTTTATGGATCTGTGGTCATCTCTGGGCCATGCTTTGGAAGCAGCTAGATTATTCAACCTGCAGCATTAATGCCTTTTTAAACCCATTCTGTGAGTCTCTTTGGTGTTTCAACATAATGTGTTGTGTCCCAAATTACTCCATGCTTCGTTTAGAAAACTAGGACTTCGTGAGCCTTGCAGCTTGGCTATATCAAAGTGCCTGTTTTAAAAGCCTTTCCCTGGAGCACATTTACAGGCAGGATTTGTTGATTTAAATAGATCACAAGTTTGTGAGGTTACAAATGCAGTAGGAAACCACTGTAAACATCACGTTACCAGCCAAGGAGGATCTGGAGACACTGTGTCGAATGGTCAAGAAGAAATTCACTTTAAATACAGCTTGGATGGCTGCCTAGAAAATGAGAGGGATTCAGTAGCTGAGGTTTACATTAGGAGTTGTGTTGGATGTTTCTCCCCATAAACATGAGCAGCTGGGCGTGTCAGCCTGCAGCGTTTCAGGCGCTGCACTTAAAAGCGACTCCTTCGCTTTGCCAGATGTGGGCTGCTCCTGTTGGCATCTGTGGCAAAAGTGCAGCCAGTTCAGCTGGAGCCTTTCAAGAATATTTATGGTTGTGTATGGCTCCACAGTCCATGACATAACCAATAAGCATAAAAGTGAATCTTTGTTTCTTCTTGTATAAGCTAATGGTTTATGTGGAAAATTGAAATTCATCAGCTGTCTTGGTTGCATTCAGCAGAATCAAGGCTGCTTAGGAGAAAACATGAGTGTTTACTGAAAGAAATATTAAGAGATTAGTCTGTGGAGCAGTAAACACCACTAAGTAGTTTTAAGCCCAGGTTGTCTTAAGGAAAGATGATTTCCCAAACACATGGCTCTAAAAAAGGGAAGTTTATAGGATCATTTCTTCAGCATGCCTAGAAATCATTCTGAAAATGGTCAATTTGAGTGTAAGATAATAACTTAAAGAGAATGCCAGGGATAAATTCTTATGTCACTACAGAAAAGTAGTTGGTTTTTTCCCCTACCTATTCACACCCTCCTTTTAATAGCTTTGCTGAGCTGAGCCCATTCCACTCAATTCAACAGAAAATCACTCCCTTTCTTGCTGGATTAGTTTTCTGCTGTTCTAACATTGATGAATTAGCTCAACAGCAGATGAGAAAAACCTGCTCAAAAGACATGCAGAAGGTCTAGTCCAGGAGCACAAGAAGAGAGAAGCAGGCAGGTCATTCCCCTTTGGCAGCAAGGCCCCAAGCAACGCAAACCTTCTTGTGCAGCTTCATCCCCCTTTGTGCTCTTTTTTTGTGACATGACATCCCAAAAGGCTGTGAGATTGCTTGACCATCTTTAAGAGAAACAACAGGAAGGGCACAGGAGCACCTTTAGCCTTTGGCTATTTTGCCTGTGTTCCTCAGAAAATGGACAGATTCAAGCCTAACCTCAAGCACCTTTTGCCCCTAAACCCCCTTGTGCTATAGAAAAAGCACCAATGCTTGGTGGGGATGTGTTTGGTACAGGTAGGGTTGGTCATATGTGATGGAACAAAAGAGATTTGACATCAGCTGCAGGGCCAGGTCCTTGTCTTTTTGGGCTGTGAGCTGTGCTTAGTCACGTCCACTTTCTGCCTTGCACCCATTGTCTTTCCTCCTGCTTGTGCTATTGACGTCACCCCCTCGTTTCTCCTTGTCCCCTATTTTTTAACCTCACTTTCCATCTGTGTCACTCTGGTCTGTAAAAAGGATTGTTTGTAGACACTTTTATTAGCAGAAAGAAAAACAGAGGAAGACCACAGAGAGGAGGAAGCCACAGAATAAATAACAATTGAACTTCACCATGAGAACTTCTTTTGATTCACTGCAAAAATAAATAAATGCCTCCATATCAGCCGGTAAGGAGAGGTGGACAAATCTGTTTTATTGTCTAGAACATTGTTTTTCTCATTTTGAATCTTGCGGGAGCAATGACAGCATGTCTGAAAATGTCAGAAAGTTTCAGAGATGTTTTTTCTTACCTTTCCCTGACTCTTCTAAATCTAAATATTTTCATCAGCACACAAACATAATCGTAACTGCTGACGCATTCTCATGGAATAGCACCTGATGTCTGTTTTCAGTATGTCTGGCCATAACTAAATACGAGAGAGACTTCCCCAGTGAGTATTTAACAGAACTGGTATTTTAGCTGCTCAGACAGCTTACATTTAAAACGAGCAAGAGACAGCACAAGAGCAACACTCCGCAGCTATGGCATCTATAAACATCAGGTTTGCTTGTCTTCAGGACAAGTGCTAGGATTCTCCTCCTAAGAAGAGGGAAAGCACTCCATGGAGGACACCCTGGCTGATGAACCTGGGGCCGTGACTCCCTCTGCCTGAGCACTCCCTGCATGTCCCCTGCCACCTGCTCTTCTCCTCGGGTCATCCTCTGGAATTAACTGGCCCAGCTGCCCCCACGGCGGTGCCCGCTGCTCACCAATGTCCGGAGCAGGGCAATCACCACGGACAGACGCCAGCCCAGTGCCGTGGCGATGGGGAAGGAAAGGGATCTCGGGGGTGGCCGAGCAGCCCTGCTGTTGCATGCAAAGCCTCGGGCGCTCGCTGCAAGGGAGCTGCTGCCTCCGCGTCGCGCTGTGTGCCCCGTCCTGCTGGCAGTCACGGGGCTGGGCAAGGCTGACCCAGTCCTGTGTTCCCGTGACTGTGGTCCTGTGGTCCCTCCTTGCAGCCGGCGCTGCGCTTAGCGCAGCGCGACCCTTCCCAAGGAGCCGCACTCCCTCTGAAGGGCGGCCACGGGCGGCATTCCCGGCTGTCGCTGTCGCTGTTGGCGGGACCGCGGCCGCTGGGACACCCGGCCCGGAGCACCTGCACCGCCCGGGGCCGCCCCCGGCCCGCCCCTCCCGGCCCCGGCGCTATAAGAGGCTCGGCAGCGGGGCCGGGCGCTCCGGCTGGCGGCGGGAGGCGGCAGCGGGGCTGGGGCATCTCCGCCCGCCGCCATGAAGTCTCCTCCAGCCCAGCGCCCGGCGGGGCAAGGTGGGAGAGGCTGGCGGGACCCCTTCTCTTCCCCCCCCTTCTCTTCTCGCCCATCTCTTCCCTCCTCTCTCCTCCCTCCCTTTCCCTCTGCCGGGGTGGGGGCGCGGGGGGCGGGCGGGTCAGGGTCGGGTCGGGCAGGTCCGGTCCGGTTCTGACGCCGCTGCCGCCGGCCCGCAGCTCCGGGGGAGGACGGCGGGGGCCTGGCGGAGGCGCTGGGCGAGTTCGACGCGGTGCTGGCCGAGTTCTCCTGCCCCGCCGGTCGGCGCCGCTTCTTCTACGGCGAGCACCTGGAGCGCATGAAGCGGCGGAGCAGCGCCAGCGTCAGCGACGGCAGCGGCCTCAGCGACTCCGAGAGTGAGTGTCCGTCTGTCCGTCCGTGCCGGCTGTGCGGGGGGCGGCCGGGAAGCGAGGCTCCAGAGCGGGAGTCACATCAGCACCCTCTTCGGGAGAGGCAGGACCCCGTCTGCTTCTATAAAAGCAGCGCCTTCTCCTTTACGTTCTGGGTTTAGAAGTCGCAGGGATGCATAGTCCGGCCCCGCTGGTTTTACTCGCTGAACAGAGGGGAGAGTTGCTGGAGTAGAGCCTAAAAAGCTGTCTGTGGGAGAAGGCGGGGCTGCCAGCCGGCTGCGGGACGCCGGGACGTCCCGGTATCTGCAGTGAAAAATGTCTCTCGGGTTCCTAGGGACTGTCCGCTGTGTCTCCAGAATCACCTGGACAGAGCGAGCGAGCCAAAACGTGCTTCCCACAACAGGTGGAAACTCACCCAGATTTCCCGTTATAAGAATGGTTATCCATCCATCATCCATCTGGATGGACCACAGGGTTACGGCTGTTTCAGAAGTGCTGATTTTAAGCTTCCTTGTGCCCAATTACACTAGATACATATCTATGGTGCGTGTAGAACGTGGAACAGGAAGGGTAGGAAGCTAATTGGAGCAAGAAAATAAAGAATTGAAATGAATTTTTTTTCTAGCTAATTTGGAAAAAAATTCAACCTGTCTTACTGACTTTACTTATCAGTGAGAGAAAACATCTTTCCTCTTCCAGATAGAGGCTGGAAACCGCTGTTCTCTTTGAGAGCAGTAGGTCACTTTCTCAGAAGTAAATCCTGCTAAATGCAGACTATAACCAGTTGGTCTAGATTTTGTGTTTGGTTTGGCTTGCTTTTTTTTTTTTTTTGGTTTAGTTCCAGACGATATGGAAGTTTGGTGAAACTTACCTGTTTTGCGGTATTTCTAGTAAGACTGCTCCTCTAGTATCTGTTCTGCCTCTTTATCAGTTCAGGGACTTAAGGTGCATTTCTGTTGATTTAGTGCTTAAACACTAATGCTGTCTCCGTAGTACTTGAGCTGTGAGAGCACAGATTCTCCACGTTATCAGAGCCCTTTTTTTCATCATCCAAGGATTACATGGATCATTTAATTCAATTCGTTGACAGATATTGTTTTACCTGCCCTGAACTTGGATACCTTGCCTAGCACTACCTTTGGGTTTTTTCTGTGGAAATACACATGCCAAGAGGCTGTTTTTCTGTTTCATAATGTAGTGAGTGTAGAACTCCTTCAAAGAATCTCTCTACCTCCAAGGAGGATTTCAAACTGTGTGCCCAATTTAGACTGAACATTTTTCTTTTGGATGGCTGAGGTTGTGTAAGGTGAAGTCTGCCTTTACTGAGTCAAACTGGCAGCCCTAGTGCTTCTGTGCAGTCTGTATTGGTGTGATTTGTCAACCTCTCACATACACTTATTGTGTCTCACAATTGAGACACTTGTAATGACAGACCAAAATAGTCTACTGTTGAGAAAATTATAAAAACCCCAACCCTGTATCTAGAACTTAATACTCTTGAATGAAGAAATGCTAAGTAACTACAGATAGGTATCTGCTATGGTTCAAAAAACTTTAATCTTGAAAACCGCCTAAAATTGCTCTGTTAGAATTGGCAAGAAGGATCTTTGGAGGAAGGTTACAGTGCTCTCTGGCATGGCAGAAGGCCTGGTGAGAAAACAGCATGCTCATGTAAACAGGCAGATCAGATCTTCAGGAGGATCTGGAAAATAAAAATCGGTGTGATATATCCACATGGATTTAGGCTGAAGACAGTAGTGGGGTAGTAGGATAGACAGGGTGTGATGGCTCTAAACAAAGTCCTCAAAGATCCTGTATGAGGAATTTGTCAAGTTTTCAAATCCTGTCCCGTGCCTGAGTCCCTCCGTTGGTGGTGCATCATGTGAAAGGTGTCTCTAGAGAAGCCAAAATCACTGCCTTCTGGACACTGGCATATAGGGCACCAGGAGGGTGCACCAGAATCTGTGAGGATATGTTTAAGGGAAAGGAAGCAAAACCAGCTAGCTCTGTTTGTGACTCAGGAAAGGCCTGGCAAAACATTTCTTCCTAAAGAAGTCACTCAGTGCAGTCAACTTTTTATTTTGAAGTTAGACTAGGATTGGAGAGGAATTGTGGATTTATGAAGAGCTCCTTTTATAACACAGGCTCTGGTGTCTGATGTAATCCAGCTACACTCCCTACATCTATTTTAAGAATAAACGCAGGGAGTTGCCTACTTACCCAGGTTCTTCTGGTTCAAACTCAAGTATTTCTTGAGTTTATTTTCCCTTTGATTTCTGCAATTTAATGTTAGCCAGTATAGTGCTGAATTCATGACTTTGTTCTTCCTGTGATAAGGCTTAGGTTAAAATACCACTGCAGAATCAAGGGGTAACTGGGCTGAAAGAGTTAAGTTCTGATAACACGAATCTTTAAAAGCCATATTATCTGCAGGTCGTTTGCATGATCATCTTGTTCATGAAGGTTCTTTACATCTTTGAAAAATCCTGTTATCCAGTGCCAAGACTATTGCAAGTACACTTTATCAGGTGTGTATAGAACAGTTCAGACTATTGTGTTTCAGCGCTATCTGTTGTTTGCTGTTCAATCTAATCCTCCTAACTGATGTGGTGTGGCTGAAGGTTAGGCTTATGTATCTTTTGGCCACTCCTGCAGTGATATCTTTCCATTCAGGGATGGAACTGTAAGGGGAGGAAACATTTTAAACTGTTGCGACTGTTTGTTTCAGTGTCCCCGAATCAGCCTTAAATTCAGAGTCATGAGAATCTACCAACAGATATCAAGTGGTTGTACTTGAGCAATACTGCTTAGTAGGGTAAGGAAAACCTTTACTCTCCTGGGGTTTCTGCCACGAGCATGAGCCCATTTAATTTAACAGAAAAGCTTGCAGAAGATCTCTGTCAATGCAGTTAATTTTGCAAATATTCTGTTATCCTTAAAATCTCCTGAGGGAGCTAGCTCCAAAAATACTGCTTTAAATTCTTATATTACATATTTCTGCCTCTTGAGAAAAGGTAGGGTTTTGAAGACTCTGTGAAAAATGGGTGAAATAGTACTTTGTTCTCCCACATCTTGTCCTGTCATTTGACTAAATGATCTTTGGACGAGGTCTGGCTTGGCTGTGGTAAAGCCTTGTTGGCAGCACAATGGACTCCAGAGCTCGCAGTCACGGAGAGGCTCATGCGTGCAGATGTGTGTGATCATCTCGGCCCACGCGTATTACACGAACCACCACAGCTGACTGGGTCAATGCTGGAAATCATGATGCAATGCTGAGCTACTCAGCATTCCAGAGCTTCTGGACTGTGAGTGAGTTGTGACTGAAACCAGTTATGTTTCAGCTTGATGTATTCAAACGAATTGGAGTCTAGCAGCTTCATTCTTTAGGTTATTAACTGTGCTGGGGCTTCTAAGCTGAGGAATACTTTATAACTCTTTGCTATTCACCATGTATCTTGGCTGTGATAAAGGAGGACTTGTGCTAGAGAGTGCTGTGCTGGCAGAAGCTGCTAGTGTAGATGCAGCTGTATTAATGAATTTACAGACAGCATTGTCTCCTTGTGTCGGAATAAGCTTGCAAAGAAGAGTGCAGGCTCGCCTGTGTAATGCATGCCCAGCCAGTGCACAGTGCCAGTACAGTATACGGCAGTGTCAGGACACTCTTCCAAGTTTAGGCGTAGGATAATGAATGGGAAGCTAGATTTTGAGAGGTTGAGAAGGGAAGTGCTTTATTGTTTCTTGGGCCAAAGTTACAATAACACTGAAAAGCTACATCATAATCTGTTGTGCTGCCAGAAGTGTTGGACACTTGTATTTCTAGGTGTTCTTGAGGCAGGTTCAGCTTCCTGCCTCAGTTAAATGCATTGCAAAATAAGTTCATTAATTCAATTCTTGTGCTCATACAGCCAGCAGTGTTTCTTTGTAGTTATTTTTTTAGTGGTAAGTAAATGGTTTCTGAGTAATGCCTCATGGCTTTTAAACACAAGAAAGAAATCCTGAGTGCATCTAGAACTCTTAGTTTTATGATTTTAAAATTAAGTAGGTGCAGGGGTTGAGCAGGATCTTTTAACACTCAGTGCTTTGTGTAGTGCCAGCACTTGTGTTTATTTGGATGTGGCTGTGGATGTCTCCATGTGCCCATGCTAATGCCTAGGCTGTCCAGAGATCACTGGCATCAGCCACTGTTAGTACTGCAGCACTCACCCCAAAAACCCTGTTTACACTATCAGTCTATGTAACCATAAAGAAGGCAACAGAAATTATTGAAGATGTAAAATATTTTCCAAATGCTTAAGTAGTCTGGGACTATCAGGCAAAAAAGAGATGTTTTGGGTGGGGACAATACAGTCTTCTGGAGAATCCTTAGTGACATTAGGAAAGTGACTGCTACCTCACCAGTATGAGGAAATCAAGTTAAATTAGCATGTTTCAAAGAAATGAGGTGTTATTTCTTTCATGAGCAGTTAAAGATGCTGCCTTAAGGTATTATTGATATTACAAGTTCACATACTCAAAAGTAACTTGATAAAATCCCAGCAGGAGGGATGGGGCCATTGGGGACTGCTTGGGCTGGTGCCACTGCTGTCTCAGGAAAGAGACTGGTGTGTGCATTGAGAGCACTTGGTCGAGCTCATCCTGCAGCTACCAGTGTGTGGCTGCACCACTCTAAAGCTCCTCTAAAGGCATCTACAGTGAGTTGTTGTGAGAGACAGGATGTGAAGTAGATGAGCCTTTGGTCTCTGCAGCAAATGCCAGCCTTGTAACATAAAAAGGAGGTAGATTGTGTCTGTGAACTTCCAATGGCTTGCCTCAAACAAGAGGACAATAAAATGCTTATAACAAAAAAAAGTGAAGTGAGACTCTTCTGGAGAAAGTCCCTTTTATTAAATGATCTGAGAAATAAATTTTTATTACCTTACTGGTATGTTCAAGGGGAAGAAAAAATTGAAGTTTCAGGCACATAGCCTTCTCCACAGGTATTTCAGTGAGCTGAGAAATGCACTTTTTCATAGGATTTCCCATTCTTGTCACTCCAGCACACCCATTGCCCTTACTCATTAGAAATGAAGAGTAGTTGAGGGTAGGCTGGAGTTGGAAACTGCCTCGTAGCTTGCAAGCATGGGGGGGAGTGGGAAGGTCAGCTTTGCATGTAATGAGAAGACGTGCTTGTACATCTGGATTTCAGGCTTCCTAGAGCACTTCCCTATAGCTATGTGATTTGAAATCCTTTAAATGATGCTTAGATGTGTCAGTAGAGAAAAGGTGGCATTTTTTGGTCAGTATTGGAACAGATGTTTGTTAGCTAGGCAAAATCCCCACAAAAATAAACAATGCAGCCAAGAGTAACTGTGGGGATGGTGATGGTAAAAATGAACACTGTCCTTGGGGGCTGAAACATACGCATTGTGAAACAGGCTTTTTGTATCATAAATATTTCTCACTTCTACTGGTGACATTACAGTTTCCAGATTTTTTTGTTCTGCTTTTCTAGCAAGTAGGCTATGTTCTGTTAGGAATTAGTTGTGCAGTCTGCTCATTAAGGACTGAGTTCCTGTTTTATAATGAATTCATGGTTTGTGGACACTTGAGTGGGCTTGTGAAGCTTCTCTCTGAAAGCTTTAGGGATGTGCTTTAAACTTTTCCCCTAAAACTTTCCCCACTGAAAACTGCAGTAAAAATTTTACCAACTCCAGTGCTCTTCAAAATTGTATCTTGAGCCATGGTACCAGAAAGAGCATGATATTAAAGAAGCTACACAGCTGAACTTTTCCGTCGTCTGTTTTAAAATGAAAAGTTTGAGGTTTTCCTCCTTCACTCCATTACTGTCGAGAGCCTTTCAATTACTCATTTCATGGGGGCATTTCTATATTTACATGGTGTTGCCATGGTTTATTTTGTGGTTTAACCATATACTGGAACAGTAAAGTTGTACTAACTACAGATTACTTTGCCAAAATAAAAGATACCCATATTTATTCTTACCCCCTAATTTTGCAGTGTAGCTTGACTGATGCAAATCAACTCCCTGATAAAACTCTCAGATTTTAGGCTTTTTTTTTTCTTTTTTTAAGAGGCTATTTGAATTTTGTTATTTTTTAAACAGCTGAAGTGGCATAGTTTATGTATATAAACACAGGGACTAGAATCAATGTCCAAAGTGAAAAATAAGTAATGAATTACAAACTTGCAGTGGGAGAGAAGGAGCTGGATGAGGAAGGACAGCAGCAATGAGATCCCTGGCATCAGCCCCTGGTTATTGGGTTGCAGAGGATGTTGTATTTTTCTGGCAGTGGAACTCTTCCAAGGGCCATTATTGGAGGTGAATGAGCAAATCTTGGCTTTGGCAGCTGGTAGAGAGCAAAGATTGAAGTGTCCTTTTCCCAGAGCTTTCTGCCCTACAGCCACACTTTGCCAAAGAGGATATTTTTCTGTGGTGGATGTCATAAGTATTTTTTAACAGTACATTGTTTTCAGCAGTTATGGTGACCTTGCTGGTGGAGTCAATGCATTCCTCCTTACATCACTAGAATTTCTGATGCTTGGTGGCATGAATAAGCCACAGTCAGTAGCTAAAGTATATTTTTGCTTTGAGAAAGATAAATGTTGATATTTTCCTGAAACTATTACAACCCATCAGAAGATAACACTGTTATGTGAAAACACTTCACCTTTTGAAACTGGAAAGAAAACATTCAGAGATTCAAAGCAACAGTTTTGTCATATTTTATCTTTGCCCAGTTGTAAATATTTCCCAGCATAAGGTTTGTGGAAGCCAGTATGAAATAACATTTTCTCATGTTAACCCAGCCTTGCCACATTTGGTGTCTGGGTGTTAGGAGTAGAGATTTGACATTAAAAATATACTCAGATTTATAACCATAGTTCTCTGTGTTTTTTATTAGTTCAATGAGCTCTAAAACCTTTAAAATATGAACTAATTTGGAAATTCTTGTTCCCTTCTTTTCAAATAAATAGTCTGAAAAGTGTTTCATCTTTGGTCTCTTCTGTCAGTGTTTCAGTGAATTACAGCCTTGGCTACAGCTCTGTTTGAGTGACCTATTACAAGTTACTTGGCTTTTTTGGTGATGGTGGGAGTTTTGTCCTGAACAGCTAGAATTTTCCATTCTGTGTTTTAGTCACTGGGGTTTGCATCTTGGCTGAAAAAAATGTGGCCTTAGTAGGTAATTGTTCTGTAAACTGATTTCAGAGGAAATTTGCCATACCTTTAATGGAGAGAAAGGATCAGTTAATGTACAGGGTACATGTGTAGTACAGCACTGGTGCCACACATCATTTCAGAACACTAAGAGGTTTCTTTCACCCTTAGGTTATTTTTAAATTTTTTTTCTGTTTTTAGGAGCTAGTTTTAAAACAGCTTATCTTTTTTTCTCCATTTTTCTGCCTAAAATTGTCTCATTTCTGCATCGTATTCACCAAGTCTTTCATGTATTCGAAGTTTCAAGTACCTTGGTTTTGATCTGCTGAAGTTTAGAGAGAACAGCACTTCTTGAGAGTGAAGATGATAAAGAAATTGCAATCAGAGGGTAGTTTGAAGAAACATACCCACCTCTATAAACAAGAAATACCAAGTGGGGGCTGACCAGGTGGCAACAGGTCCCAGGTGTCAGTCATGCCATCAGTCACGTTTGGGTGGTGCTGAGGGTCACACGTGTTTGCCAGAACAGGATCTGAGATGATGGCAGAGGAAACTGAAAAATCCAGCACAGTGGTGGGCCAGAATGCATGGGAAAGAGGAAAGTATTCCAGGCTGAAGCTTCTCCCCCAAGGCTTTTCAGTGTGTATTGCAACAGAGGTGAGCTTGGAAGCTGGCACAGAACAAACAAGCACAGAACAGCTTTTATGGCTGAGGAGAGATCTGAGAGGCTTTGTAGGTGCAGTGGTCTGGTCTGACTTGTCTCTGTGTCTGTATGCTCCTGTGGAAGGTGCTTTTGTGCAGGCTAGAGGAGGTGGGGTGTGGGCACACACTCTTCTTCCCAAAGGCAGCTGAATGTGAGGCAAGGGAGTGAGACCTCCTGCAAGAGGATGGTCTCAGTGTCTGCTGTCTGGAGACATCCAGATGTTCAGTGGAGGTGTAGATGTGCAGATCTTGGCAGGGCAAGTCCTGCCCCCTCTTGCCAATTCATCAAGCCACCCTTAGTTTAGCTAAAGCAGTCCTCTCCTGGCACAGCAAATGGGACAGGCATCCAAGGGATGTAACAATTCTCTCTGGAGTGGACTTGGTGCTGCAGTGCAGCCACCTCCCAGACTGTGGCTCCAGGGACAAGTGCTGTGTGTGCTGCAGGGAGCAGAACTGCTGGCCCCAATGGCTAGCAGTGGTAGTCACCACGCCGTATATGAAGGCGTACCTTGATGTCCTAGGCAATGTGCCAAGCACATGGAGACCATGGACATGTTTGTATCACAGTGGTGTCTTTTTGTAGAGCTGCAGTTTTCAGGCCACTGGCTTGAAGCTTCAAGACCAGCGGTTTTAGTGTCTCTAGCAGGACGACATTGCCTCCTTCCAGTGGAGGCAGGATTAATACCTTGGGTGCCCTGCACGTAAAAATGCTTTTTGATGCTTTTTGACATTAAGGCCTCCTCTAAAATACAAGAACATCAAAATGGTACTGGGGCCTTTTCTATTCCTTTCCAGGACATATAAGGCTTTCTTTGAAAGATCACCTAAAATAAGATTGTAGGGTATTTTGTGTACCAGTGTACCGCTTCATGAACTCCAGACAGTCACAGAATAAAATAATTAAAAATGCCATACCTAAAGCAGCAGAGTAATGTGATAGTGGGTGAGAGTGATGTGAGTAATGGAGAAAGGGGTGCACTTGCTTTGGGGATAAAGGACATCACTGAATATAGTCTTTATCCTGGGGGGCTGTCTTTGTCCCGGAGTGCTCTATTCAGGGTTTTTTGGTAACTTTCGAAAAATTGAGGTAACAGAATTTCCCAGAATATTGTGAATTAGGCAGGTCCTACCAGGTCTAATTTTGCTGATGTGGGATAATCATAATTTCTGTTTAATTTTTCAAATGGTGCTGACTTCAGGGCAAGCTAACACTTTCCTTACTGGAGATGAGGATTGAGACTAGGGCTGCTTTCTTTTTAATAGTAAGAGTGGGAGCAGAAACCTTCAAACAATAAAGGGTTTATTTATTCACTTTTCTGGTTTTGGAGACTTTGAGTTCTACAGACTTTGAAGTCCGTTTAGGAAAGGCTGCATTTTGGGTTTAAATTATATTGCAAGCTAGCAGAAGGTGTCAAATTTACTTTATAATGCTGCTCTTTTACAGGTGCAGATTCCCTCTACAGAAATAGTTTCAGTCTCAGTGATGAAAAGCTCAACTCTTCAACTGCATCTACTCCAAGCTTGCCATCCCCTTCAGTAACTCCTTGTAAAGGTATCTTAATTTTAACTGTTGGCATTTCTTCCTAATCCTCAATTATATGGGCTTCTTGCTGGGAACCAGGATTCACATGTTTGCATGGACTTTTTTTTCTTTTGGTGTTTTGTTTTATTTTTCTTGGTGGTTTTTTTTGGTTGTTGTTGTTTTTGGTTTTTTGGTTTTATTTTAATGACAACAAAACTAAGGATTACTGTTGTGCACACTACAGCTCCAATTATTGCTGTCTTGATTGTAAATGGCAATAGCATTCTGTATCTGCACTTGTCAGGTGGCCTGGACATTCTCTTGGTTTTGAAACACTGAGCTAAAAAATTAGTTTTCTGGCTGCTAAGGATTAATTATTAACTTGTGTTACTTCTTTACTGAAGCAACTAAGTGGCTTAAGTGTCCCATTTTTCTATAAAAATGCTTAGCCTGAATGCAGGGGCAGAGGGACTCCTCTGACGCCATATACTGCCATTTAACACCATTGCTCAGATCCGTACAGACCTCACACAGTGCTTACACAAGCCATGTAGCAGCAATTCCTTCCTCCTTTGAAGCTATGCTGTTTCAGAGAGGCTTCTGTCTTGCAGCTGATCTGACTTCCTAGGACAGTGTTTCATTCATGTTAACTTGCATTAGCTCTGGAGCAGACATATCAATAAGTGAACACTCATACATGTGTAGCACATGGTGCTTTTGTTACAACTACTCTCCTCAGCTGTGTGTTCAATAGCCTTTCATGCTTTCATACCTTTTCCACAGTGACCAGTCACAAAAAAAAACAAATTAAGTGCTTTCTTTTCAATTAGTGGTATATTAGGGAGTAATAATTAGTAACAGTTTCTCTGAAGTAGCAAAAAAAGAGCTCAGTTAAACTGACAGGATATATTTGGCAAAGAATTACACTAAAGGACAAGATGTTCTTCTTGATGAGAAGACAGAAGGAGTTGGAACTGACTTGGAAAAGACTTCAGAAATGAGATAAAGAAGCAACTTGCTGTAAAACTACATTGAATGGAACCAGTGGTGTTGCCAGGAGTGGGAAATTTGGTGGATGTTTGGTTCCAAATTTATAGCGTATGGAACAAGATCAAAGCATCTGGAAGCACAGCAAACCCGTGATACTGACATGATTTTAAAGGGCTGAGATTTGAGTAGGACTGGGAGCTCATTGGGATTGACTAGGGGCATGCATACAGCATCTGAAGAGATGAAACAGGAAAGGTGGCCACAGTAGCAAAGACATGGATCAGTTGATATGTATCTTTTATTCTTCACTGCACCCCCTTCTTTTTAAGGAGACTACAGAAAGTATTCCTTTGTGTTGCTTCTGTCAAATAGAAAACTATCAAAGCTAGAATTTCAGTTCACTCTCCCATGTTCTCTAAGTGCTTTTGGACATTGCAGCAACTCTACTGAGCTTTGCTGATGATAATCCACAGCATGTTTGGTACCCCCGAAAATTATTTGGAGGTTCGTACGTTCCTAGAGTTTCTTCTAGCCAGAGTAAATGCCATGCCTAAGTATTGACCCTTATTTTGCAGCAAAGCTTGGAGACACAAAAGAACTGGAGGATTTCATTGCTGATCTTGACAGGACTCTAGAAAGTGAGTAGATTTTTTTTATTAGTTGCTTGCATCTCACTTGGTGCTTGTTACAAAGAGTGTTGAAAACCAATCTATAGGGAAAGAGGGAAGGGAAAAATAGAAATAGTTTCTATAATGTGGTTTCCTTTTAGTTTGCTGGTCCTGTGGATCATTATCTGGATAAGAAGGTAAAACAGACTAAATTCAGACTGCCTGAATGTTCAAGTTTAGCCTGTGTGGCAAAGGTTGAACTCAATGAACCCCTGGTCCCACCTCTGAGTCAGCTGCAATTCACCCCTGTCAAGGATCCCTCCTTGACAGTGGATCAATAGATAAACATCAGTTTCTTAAATACTCAAAACTCAGTTTGAAAAGTGGTGATCTATTTCTTCATTGTAAAACTAAGTAACCGGAGAAGTATCCTTAGGTGAGGAAAAACCGTTTTGTTCTAGACTTTGCTTTATGAAAGAATTAAGGAGCAGATATCTGTATCTGTTGACTTAATGTCAAAATCCTGTTTGTGATTGTCTTTACCAGGAATGGAATATGGATCGCTTTTTCTGCCACAATCTAGAAATTGTATCTTTCAGCTACAGTATTGAATTTCTTATTATGATTTTTAAAGAAAAACAAACAAAAATCTGGCCACCTATTGCCAAACATGTACTCTGCCTATTCCTTTTGCTTCATCCTCTTCTGTTGTGGACATAATACCATTTCTTTTGTGTTTCAGGTTGAAGTTTTTTTGTGTTGAACTAGGCTATAGAGCCCAAACAAGCAAGTTGTAGGACTAGACCTAAAAAGCAACATAAGCAAAGCCCTCTCAAACTGTGAACTGAGAGTTTTGTGTATTCATTAGGTATTTTCCCTTCCCTGTATTTCTTGAAGATGTGGACTTAATTCAAGACAGCTGCCCTTATGAGCTCCCTGCTTCCCTGCTGTCTTACTTGCATCTTAATCCTGGTTTCACTTCTCATACTTAAGATACATTTTCTAGTTTCCTGTATTCTGTTGTGGATGTAAGCTTGAGCTAACTCCATCTTTACCACTGAAACTGAATTTATTGCTCTTCTGAAAAAATTCCAAGTTTTAGAAGGTTTGTGTGGGACAATGAAAGGCCAGACAGGTAAATATTTCCACTGCTGTATCTTGCACATCCATGTTGCAGCTCTAAAGGGGCTGCCTATTATATGTAGGTTTCATTTTTCCCTTGCAAAAGTACATCAAAGGTGAAGGCAGGAACTACCACCTGCTCTAGTGGTTTTGTGCTTTTATTTTTGGTGTGACTTTTTTATTATTTTTTATATTTTTATTTTTTTTTTCTTAATCCTAACTAGACAAATATCCAGTGATCTCAGCAGAGTTTCATTTGTACAGTACCACTGTACAGTGAGGAAGAAGTCCAACTTCCATCTGGTATTTATCATCACATTTTTGAGGAGTTGTATGTATATGCTTGAGGTTACACAGAACTTTGTACAGATACCTTTTCAAGCCTAATGCACTTGTTAGAACAGTGCTTGCCTTGTCGTTTTTGCACATCAGCATTTCAGCTCTCATGTTAATTTAAAAAAAAACACGTAATTTGGCTTATCAGGCAGTCTAGCGAGCTGGGCACAGGCAGGTGTCTGATATGTCAACAACATGCAATCTTATTTAATAGAGAACTTAATGATCTTTCTTGTTCTGTATTTTCAGGTATGTGAAATGAATTTTCAGCATTGTGCTTGCATGTGAATGTCCTCTGAAGGATAAGTGACATCAATCAGTGAGAACTGCTGCCCTTGTCTGATAACTTTGCTCCCCAAGATATCCTCTGAACATAACCTTTGTGAACTCCTACAAGTATTTAACTGGCAACATTGGTGGTTTTTATTTTATTTTATTTTTTCACTTTGCAGCAGATGGAATAAGATAACTTAAATGTTAGAGCTGTATTTTGCTTTAAAAGATAGCTGAATTTTAATTTTAATTTAAAGTTGCTTTTATGCAAATATATTTGTAATTTTATATAGTTGAAAACTTTAATGCTTTTTTCCATTATAATATATTTTTGTATGCAAATAAATCCTGAGCTGGAATCCAGATGTCTGGAAGCTTTCTATGAACATTCAAACTCTGAAATGTAAGTGCAAATTAAACTCTTATTGAAAACAACATGTTTCAAAATATCTTGATTATGGTATATTTCCTGTTAGGCAAAATTTATTATGCTCGTTTAATGTGGTTGCTTAAATAAGAGAGCTTTGTACTCTGTAAAATTAATACAATCAGGAAAGTAATAAATTTGGTCAAACTGTTACTTCAGGTTTGTGTTAATACAAATGAAATAAGACTTACTGGACATTTGAACAATAACACCTATTTTAAACCCTATGTTAAAGCTGGTTTCAAACTCTGAGACCATTTGACATGAAGCACTCACTATTTGAAGGTCAGACATTTTGGCTCATCAGTTTAAAGGTATGGAGGTCCTGTACCACTGAGAAATTACTTGTGTATGGATGGTTCTAACACCAGCCCTTGGGTCTGGAGCAGTCAACAACTCTGAAAAGACTTCAGATCAGTGTGCTGCTGAAAGAGGGAAGGTGGACCTGTACTTTTACGAGGAACCTGATTCTTTCCATATGCATTAGGCTCTGGGAATGCCATTATGTGAGCTCTCCTCCTGCTGCTGCAGGCATTACACCTGGCTCTGCTGTCTGTGCTCTCCAGTCTGTTCAGTGAGCTGGGGCTGGGCTGGTTTGAACTCCTGCCTAATTTTGACCAAAGCTGTCTCGTGAGCAGTTGCTTGAACAGCACAAGCTTATTGTGCTCCCTTGATGTGTTATCTTTGAGAGTGTCTAGAGTGTGTGTGTACCTGTGGCACAGCTACCTGCTTAGGGGACCTTAAAGGACACTTAGACTTGCCTTCTGCATCTTGGGGAAAACCTACTGTGTATCCCTAATAGGAACACCATAAGGATGTTGCAGATCTATCTCCCTGGATTTTACATTTCCTAAAAATTGACCCTTAGACTAGAAAGGGAGTAAAATTAATTAGGAGGGTAAAGTTTCATGCTTGCAGTAGGTTAACTTTCAGATCTGTGAAGGAAATAGTTATGATTCAGGTTTGAGACTGATGTCCTTCTCCTTGCTCTGAGACCTCAGAGGCTCCTGTGTCACAGGAAGTGTAAAATTCACTGCTACTATGGTGTAAGCATACAGGAGCAATTACTGCTTTTTGTTTCCTCTGTGGAACTTGATGAGGATGTCTGCCCCTCCTGCTCAGTTCCAGATGTGAAGGGATTCCTTTGACTGGTGTAGGACTTCTATTAAACGTGGAGACACTGTGCCTTTCAGCAGGAGCTGAGGAAAGGGGAACGAGGACAGCAGGGACAAATTTGTTCTTCTCTTTTCAGAAACATTCTTAGGATAAGGCATGTTTTTAAACCTGCAGGAATAGCAGCAGCAGCAGCTTTGGCTGTGTTTCTATATTTTAATGCTAGTTGATAGTGTGAACAAGGGGGTGGCGACTTCAAGGGATCTTGAGGCGGTGGGAGATGATGGACCCCTGTTTGCTCCTCTGTTCCTCAGGTTGGATTGTTTGAGGCATGAGTTTTCCACTTCTGCATGTTCAGATGTTGCCTGATCCTGTTGAATACTCTGTGCCTATAATCAGTATTTAAAGTCAGATGTCTCCCTTTATAGGTTGAAATCAGCACAAATGTGCAGTACTTTGGAATGGCAATACTTTGTCCTTACAGACACCCAATTTTGAAGGTTTTTCCCGTATAAGAAAAGGTTTTAGTGAGGTCTGTTCCTCATTTTGTCTAATGTTAGTGGTGATGGAGTTGGGGATTAAGTCACCATCTGTTTGGGTTTCTTAATCTTGTTTATGCATGAACAGGTGGAGACTTCTTGCTTATACAGCAGATCTGGAGATCATCAGCTGCGAATCTGGGAGTATCTTCTGTGGAGCTGTTTATCTGAATTCCTGCCAGTTTAAGTTCAATTTCCAATGTGTCAGAAGAAAGGCACTAACATAGATGTCATTTCACTGGAGGATGCTTATGACTTAAGTTCATCATCCGATTACATATGGCACTGAAAAATGCATTGCTGCTAAAAGTTCTGTCATGCTTTATCCCCAAGGAACATTGCTGGAGACTGCACTGTCCTTATGGGCCTGGCTGACTTTTCAATCCTTGTTTTGACCTCCCTCTTGTGCTGCAGTGCTGAATTTGAATTCAGAAGAGTCTCAGCACTGCTGTGCCAACACCAGGCACCCTGAAATGGAAATGAGCAGCTTAGACTAAGCAGATGTGTTGCCAGAGCTTAACCTGTGGAGGGTGAGGTGAAACAATTACTTGCGCGTGTGCTCTTTACCTACTGCAAATTCAAGGTTAACTGGATTAGTTTAACCCTCCACCATCAAGGCTTGAGCTACTGTATCTTATCTTGGGTTTGCTGTTGACTCTGTGTGCCCTTGGTGCAAGCTGATACCAGGTAACACCTTATGCTTGGTAACCTGAATAAGGGAGAGAGACCAGAAAAAGGAGGGATTTATATTTATGTTTTTCCTGGGTTGCCTGTGCATCTGTAGCCCCTGCACTGGCATCCAGGTGAGTTTTTAGAAGGGAGGAAAACAGTTGCATTGGCAGCAATGGAAGGGAAGGGCTCAACCCCTGCTGGCTCCCAAGGCCCTTGTGCTGGTGCCTTCTCCCCTTCTTTGTTACTGTTATGGGCTTTTTTTGTGCATGCTGGGTGTGGAACTGATTCCCAGTAGCATTGCCTAATCTGAAGGGTCAAAGAGGGCAGGAGAATCCATGTTCAGAGCTTCACAGATTAAATTAAGCCTTGGTTTCAGTACTGGATGCTTGCAAAGAAAACTGACACAGGATGTTTCTGCCTGCTGGGAAGCATCAGGAATTCACAGTGGGAATTCAGTGGGAAAGGTCCACCCTGCATGGGTCTCCTCTGGAGCTCATCTCAGATGGCTCAGGTGTACCCAGCTGACCATATGAGTGGTATTTGCACCACTGGTGCCATAATGGGAGATTTAATTCATCTGAAGATGCTAGACATGACATCTGCTGGAGAAGATGTTGAAGAGAAACTTCCAAAGTTGCAATGTTTGGAAGCAAAGCCAATATGACTGCAGCAGTTCTTGAACTAAATCCAGCTCTGCACACTGACAGCACAAAATCCATATTCTCAATGGGGAAATCTCCTGTTTTCCATGTTACTTGCTACGTTACTGATTTTTTCCAGCCTGTCCAATAGCTCTAACTCTCTAGATGACTTTACAATAATGTAAGATGATTTTAGCTGCTACATCTCAGCAGTTTAGATTCTAAACTCTAAATCAGACCTGTAAACCAGATCTTTTCGGGGTTCTTTACTTTCTTAGAGGTTGAAAGAGCTAACAGTCAAATGCTGTAGATTGACCTGTGGGATTAAAATAGGCCAGCTTTTACAAAGCCACCCCAGGGCTTTGGTTGCTTTTGCTCTTTCACACCTGTGTTTGGAAAGCTAAAATATTTATTGATTTAGCTTTTAAAAGCTACAGACTGGAGGCCTGTGCCTCCATTCTCCCAAAGCATCAGAGCTCACCATCTTCTCTGGGAGGCATGAGGATGCTTAAATAGTCTTCAGACTGGAGGTGAATGTTGCCTTCTCCATAGCTGATGGCTGTAACACCAATTGCTTTGGTTCTGTTGATAGCATATTTCAGAACATTAGTTTTAATTAAAACTGCTGCCCTTGTCTTAAAGAAAAAACAAAGCAATTAAAGTATTATGGTATATATGTAGTCTTCACATTAAAAAAAAATCTTGCTACTCTATTGAATCAGGTCAGGACCAATTTAGCCTGAATTAAGCACTTACATAAACCACTGAGGTTAGGATGTTGCCCTTGGCTCATTTGCCAGCCATTACAGAAAGGAGAGGGGACTGAATTATCCCCTAATGATGGTCCTTTGCTACAACAAATATTGTAAATTACTACAGCTAAGCAGGTTTCTCACTTGGGCTACTTAATCCACTAACTAAAGAAAAGTGTAGTTGTCCAAATAAACCTGCCTACAAGTGGCCCTAAAGTGTTACAGCTGGTGGGGCTGGAAGAGCAGAGGCAGAAACATCCATCTGGGCAGGGCTCCTGTGTTTGGGGCTCTGCACTGTGCAAGCTTCAGCCCTGGCCCTTGGGGCTCTGTGCTGCTGGGCCAGGCAGGAGGTGCTGGGCACCAAGCCCTTGTGGGATGCCACAGGATGAACCCATGGGAGCTCTGTGCTCTGAAGCAGAGTTGCCAGAACAAGCTGCAGGAGAAGGGCACTCCTCATCCTCACCACTGCCAGCGCACTGCCTGCCCATTCCCACTGTGTTAGGCAGGGTGGGAAGCTCCAGTCGCATCCTTGGGCAGGAGCAAGGGAACCAGTGGGAGTCTCAGGATGGTGCTTGGGTAGCACAGTGCTGACCCCAGGGCCGTGCCCTTTAGCTTTCTGTACCCCCAGAACACACTCTATCTTTTGCTGCCTCCCAGCAGTGCTCCCCATCTGCAGCCCAGCTCCAATCTGCCCCATGTTCAGTCAGGCCAGCCCTGCTGCTGTAGAGAGATATCTGGAGCTTTGGGGTTGTTTTGTTTTTTAAAAAAATGAATTCTAGGACTGTGCCAGTGACTATCTCAGCTGCAGACAATTTCTAGGTCAATTATCTGTAATGTGTGGCTCAGTGGCTGAGGATGGAATGGATGCTGCTGAAGTCCATGGTGAAATCTGCAGGTGGGCTGGGATTTAACTCTGTGTCAGTGTGCAGCTGGGCTGATGGCTCCCTCAGAGCTCCAGAAAGTCTATAAATTTGGGATGTGTCAGCTTTCTCGTGCAACACAGGCAGGAGTTTCTGAACACTATTTAGAACACCTCAGGAGACATTTAGCCTGGTATCTCAGTTAAAATTGAGTGAATGGTTGTGCTGTCCCCTGGTTTTATTCCATCTCTGTGAGAAGCAGAGTGATTCACAAAGGTGTATGGGGCTTGATGCTCTTTCCCCCATTGGGTTTGGCAACAGAGTGGTGCTAAAGAGTTTGTACCCACAAATATTTTGTGCTTTCAAGCTGTGACTTCAGTGGACTCTCATGCAACATTAAACTCTGATGCTGGCAATCTGTCTCCATAGAC